TTGTAGGCCTTTTCTTAATTTCTCTTACCTAACACTTCCAGTCAGGACTTCTGGTATGTTGAATAGAAGAGGCAAGAATTAGCATCCTTCTCTTTTCTAGATATTAGAAAAAGTTTCAACTTTTTCTCATGAAGTGCTATATAAATTGGATGTTTGTCATGTATAGTGTCCATTTGGTTGAGGTATACCCCTTCTATACTTATTTTTTTGAGAATTTTCATTATAAAAATGTTGAATTATGTCAAATCCTTTTCTGCAGCTATTGAAATAATCATATGGCTTTTTTCCTTTATTCTGTTAATGGCATATGTCATATTTATAGATTTGTTTATGATGAACTATACTTGAAACCCTGGGATGAACCACATTTAATCAGGGTAAATGTTCTTTTCATTGTGCTGTTGGATTTGGTTTGAGTGTTGTTTTGAGGATTTTTGCATCTATGTTCATCAGAGATATAGTCCTGTAATTTTGTTTCCTTATAGCGTCCTTGTCCAGCCTTGGTATCAGGGTAAAAGTGACATTTTAAAATGAGTTTGAAAGAATTCTCTTCCTTCCAATTTTTTGGAATAATTTGAGAATTAGCATTAGTTCTTTAAAAAATATATGGTAGAATTCAGCAGCAGAGAAGCCATCCAGTCGTGGTCTTTGTTGGAAGACTTCATTACTGCTTTAACCTCATTACTTGTTATTGATCTGTTCAGGAGTCTCGTTCTTTCTTATTTAATTTTGATGTATTGCATGTGTCCAGGAATTTATTAATTTTCTCTAGATTTTCCAATTTTTGATGTATAGTTGTTCATAATAGTCTCTAAAAATCCTTTGTATTATTGTGTCATCAGTTGTAATGTCTTTTTTGTTTCTGATTTTATTTATTTGGTTCTTGTCTTGTTTTTTAGTCTAGAGAATGATTTGTCAATATTGCTTAATTTTTCAAAAAATTAACTTTACTCTGGTAAAAGTCAATTTTGAAATGTCCATGTAATGTAGTACCATGCAGGTATTCAAGATAACTAGGTATATATTTTTGTGATGCTATGTTGCAACGTTCATTGAGTGAAGAAAGGAAGTTACAGAATAACATATTCAGTATGATATCATTTGTTTACAAAAAATGAAGACAAGAAAGGAAATATTGCTTATGTATGCTTGTATATGTATTCTTTATGGAGGGATACAAAATAAATTGTTAATAATGATTTTAAAAACAAAACTGACTTTACATTTCCTATTTAGTATTTTTTAGTCTCTATTTTAATTTTGCTTATCTTTTCAAAAAACTAATTTTAATTTTGTTGATCTTTTGTATTATATATTTAATTTCAATTTTATTTATTTCTCCTCTTATCTTTATTATTTTTATCCTTCTAGTAGTTTTGGATTTGTTTTGTTCTTGCTTTTCTAATTCCTTGAGATACATTATTAAGATGTTTTAAAAAAGTTTTCTACTTTTTTGATACAGAAATTTAGTATTATAAACTTCCCTCTTATCTGCGTTTCCTATATCCCATAGGAATGTTGTATTTATATTTTTATTTGTTTCAAAAAGTTTAAATGGCACATTGGCTATACAGGAGCATGTTGTTTAATTTCCATGTATTTGTGGTTTCTAAAGGTCTTCTTGTTATTGATTTTTAGTTTTATTCCCTTGAGGCCAGAAAAACTGCTTAACATGATTTAATTTTTGTAAACTTGTTGAGACTTTTGGCCTTACATATAGTCTATCCTGGAGAATGTTTTATGTGCTGATGAGAGGAGTGTGTATTCTGCCTGAAGTGAATGAAATGTTCTATAAATGTCTGTTAGGTCCATTTGTTCTATAGAGGAGTTCAAATCTAGGGTTTCTTTGTTGATTTTCTGTCCAGATGGCCTTTCTAATAATGAGAGTGCAATGTTGAAGTCCCTTTCTATTATTATATTAAGGCCTATCTCCCCCTTTAGATCTATCAATATTTGCTTCATGTGTCTGGGTGCTTCATCGTTGGGGGCATATATATTTATAATTGTTATAGTGTCTTGATGAATTCATCCTTTTATCATTATATAATGATCTTTGTCTCTTTTCTACAGTTTCTGACTTAGACTCTATTTTATCTCATATAAATATAGCTACTTCTCTTTGATTTTGGTATACATTTGCATAGAATATCTTTTCCCATCCCTTTAAGTCTGTGTGTGACATTCCAGGTGTATGTTTTTTGCAGGCAGTGTTTCTTTAGTTGTTTTTTTTTTTTCTTCTGGTTGTTTTGAATATTCTTTGTTACTTTATTATTCTTTTTGTTGTTTATTTTTGTGGTTTGGTGTGTTTCTGTATTGATAAAGTTTGATTCTTTTCTTTTTCTCATTTGTGTATCTACTATAGCAGTGAGTTTTATACCTTCAGTTGTTTTCCTTATGGTAATTATCATCCTTTTTTCCCTAGATACAAGATTTCTTCTAGCTAGCTCAAAGGCCTTTTGAAACAAAAGACCAGAGATTCTCTCACACAAGAGTAAGAAAGTGGAGTTTATTTTAAGACTATGTATTATAAGAACTAGAAATATATTTGAGTTCTGAAGCATCTTTAAAGTCCAGTTAGTCTTTTATAGCCAAGTTGGCAGGGCTAATTTTTTCACAAAGATAAAAGGGAGAGGTATTGTGGATAAGCTGTAGAATGCTTCAAGATTTATCCAGTACAGATTTATATGGAAGCTAGCCAGGTGTCTTTAGCACTTTTACAAAATTGTGTCAAACAGTTTCTTATTTATTTTAGGGTAGCTTAAAACTTGTTTCAGCTTCTATTTTTTGCATTATTGAAACATTCTATCATCAGTGCACTTCACAACAGACTCTCTTTTACAGTCCCTTAATATGTTTTGTAACTAAATGAAATATAGAATTAACTGGACATGAGGGAGATAGTTTATGATTAAGAAGAAGTGCCATTACCAAAATTTGTAATTTTATTTAGTGTAATTATTTATAGAAAATGGACTATTATCTTGGGATTTGGTGTTAACTATTCAAATTATGATATGCACAGAGACTTAAAATTATTGTAAATACAACAAGTTATCTAATTTAGTAGAGTTAATCAGCTATTGCACAAAGTCCTTAGTCATTTTTGTAAAAATCATAGCTGGGTATAATAATCAAAGATAGAAATTATTTTCATGGTATCCATCCACATTCATTCTGTAACGATGCTGTGGGTTGTAAAAATCCTGACAAAAGGGCTGTATTTTGTGTACTTTCAAGTGACTTTTTGTGGCAAAGTGTTTACTTGTATAATTTAAAAGCAAGTTCAGGTTTAAAAACAAGTACATTTGGATATGTATATGTGAAAATCAATTTTTCACCTTAGGATTTTAGAACTAGGTTCAATGACTATCTATTCTTTCAATGCTCAATGGCTTCTATTTTGTATATATATTTACCTTTACATGCCTGCCTAACAAATCTTAAAAATCAAGGCTGTTACAGTGTGTTAGGTTTTAATATTCTGTATAGTCATATGAATTGCTTTCAACTAGTTTTAGCAACAAAAATAGCATTTTACGTTTTCATTCGGTGCCTTCACATCCTCCCAATAATACACTTTTTTTTCTTCTCTACCTCTTCTGAAATGGGTCTACTTTTTGCCAACTAAACAATAAAGAACATGTTTTAAGTATTGTTTTCCTTCACCTCAACTTTGGCCCAGACTGTTTTCTCAACTCTGATTATTATTCATGAATTTGTTCATGGGTTTGTTCTTACTTTTGAATTTTCCTCAGCTTTCTTTTGCTATTCTCTTTAATATGTGCCATTAACACATATATGTAAATACTTAAATTCTTTCTTTAGAAAGAATAAAATTGTGTTTTCTGCCTACTTTGTTAACAGTCTCTGAATATTCCCTGCCAGACACTGTGGCCATGGTAGGTTTTTAAAAACCTGTGGGAATGAATGACACCTGGTAAGCAGGTGTTCTCTGAGCTGATTTTCCACTGTGCCCATTGTTGATACCCTTGCTTTATGACCTGGTTTCTGACCTCAGATATTGGCTACTTTCTAAGACTCTGCTTAACTTTGATGCCAGTGTGTCCCTTGATCTGACTTTCCTCTTAAATTTTTGCTATCTTGAACGGGTTTTTGTGGATAACCCCTTTCTTGTTTTTGAACTCTAGTAAATTAAACTCCGCATAGCTAAATGATGACATATCCCTAACCTGGAGCTTTTACCAAGCAGCAGTTCTTTTTGGATCTCTCCTATTGAGGACTCTCTTTTTTCCCCAGGGCAGTCATTATGATTAATTCACAGGATCACAGGAGAGGACGTTTTAAGTCCATTTAGGTATCTGGAATGTAAGACTATCCTGTGGAATAGTGGGATAAAACGTGTAAAATGCTCTCACAGGCATGCTTTATCTGTGAGGACCTGAGAGCAGAAAAGCTTTGGTAATTAATTTGATAGGTTCTGGGATGGGTATTGGACTTGGTGGTGATAAGTGAAGAGACTGTTATTTGAATGTGAAGAGAGCTGTATGTGCTTTTCCATCTCTGAGCAGGGAGTGTAAAATCTATTTAGAGATGTAGCCATCAGCCAAAAGTGAGAAGTCTCTTAAAACAAGCAAAAAAGGCACTGCTAATAATTTTGATTCCTGCACCAAGTGCTCTATAAAAGTGGTGCTAAAAATGCCACTCTTAGCAAATTGTATTTCACTATAATTTAAAGCATGTTACAACTTCTTCAAGTGATAAAGCTAGAGAACAAAGTGTTTGAGTATGTTTAATATGGGGATTTACATTTGAGTTAACTAAGCTAAAAAAAAAATCCCCATAGAATTGAAATTATTGATAACTTATGTGATTACCATGGAGGCTTATTGGGATTCAGCATGAGAATACTACTTCCTAAGATGCAAAGAAATGTACATTATTGACATTAGATAAATCCATATAGAAGATATGTGGATCCTACTGGCCCTTAAATATTTACTTTTTAAAAAGTTACTGTTCTGTCCATTCTTGAGGTGGAGATGGCTGTGGCTATGGTGGTGATGCTGCGAGGGGGTCTCCTGCCCCAGGCAGGCCAGCTGCCTGCCCTCCAGACTGTCTGCTATGGCTCCAAGGCTGTTACCTGTCACCATCGTGTGATGCACTTTCGGCAACAGAAGCTGATTGCTGTGACTGAATATATCCCCCAGACACCAGCCGTCAACCCAACATGTCTGCCATCTCCTCCCGGCCCCCAACAGGAGGCATCACTGGTAGCCCTAGAACTTACCACAGAGGGAGAAAGGTTGCCAGGAGAAGTGACAGCTGATGTGCCCTTGGTTATTGCTTTCCAATTTCAGGAGAGGGGCCTCATCAGGCTTCTCCACCAGAAGTTAGCAGCAGTTTTCCAGGACAACGAAATGATAACTGTTTGCCAGAAGGTGGCTCTGAGCACAGAGGACAAGCTTCTTATGCAACACCAGCTGCGGAAATGCAAGATCCTGATGAAGGTCTTCCCCAACCAGGTACCGAAGCCCTTCCTGGAGGATTTCAAGTGCCAAAATCTGCTGCCCCTTTCTGTGGGGCACAACGTACTGCTGGTCAGTGAAGAACCCAGGGTCAAGGAGATGGTCCGGATCTTAAGGACTGTGTCATTCCTGCCGCTGCTTGGTCGCTGCATCAGTGACACCATCCTCAGCAGGCAGGGCATTATCAACTACTCCAATCTCCCCAGCCTGCCCCTGGCACGGGGGGAGCTTGTAGTAGGCCTCATCCGCCTCACCGCCCAGACCCACTCCCTGCTCCAGCACCAGCCCCTGCAGCTGACCACCCTGTTGAACCAGTACATCTGACAGCAACGCGAGAAGGATTCTGTTTTGTCAGTCAATGGGAAGCCAGATCATCCTGACCCTGTTCCGGACTCTTACCCAACCTGGTTAGCCAGCCCTGCCCATAAATACACTGTCCGATTGGCTGTGCTGTCTACCATGGGAGATGTGGAAGAACTTGGGGTGGGGGAGTGCGTTTGTCACTGGGCTTTACTAACACTGGACAATATCACTCCCACACTGGGGGAGTCATATTATCAGGTATAGGGTCACTTGGAGATGCAGAGGATTCCATTTCAAATGGAGGCTGTCAGTCACTGGTTTTGTCCTTAGTTTTCCTAACTCGGGACCCAATAGGAGCAAAGGTCCAAGGCAGAGAGGCTGAAAAGATAAAGGCTATTACCCCCTGCCTCCTTGGTCACTGCCCCTTGCTGCAAGGGTTTCTGAGCCCACTCCCTTGGGGCACAAACTGCCACTGCCACAGTAGCTCAACCAAGCAGTCGTGCTGAGGATAGTACCTGGTGAGAGCCTGCTGTGTGCCAGGCTTTGTGCTGAGCGCTGTACCTGCGTTAGTTCCTTTATTCCTGACCACGTTGTACCCATTTCACAGAGAAGAAGCAGAGAAGTAGCTTGCACAAGGTCATGCAGTTAGTAAGTGGCAGAACAGGGACTTGAACCAGGCCCTCTCTGCTCTGAAGACCGCATCCTGAATGTCTACACTAGAGCTTCCTCATCAGGTTACCCAGAAGTGGGTCCCATCCACCATCCAGGTGTGCTCAGATGTTAGTTCTCCACCCTCGGGGTGTGCCATGCTATGGAAAGTTTGGGAGCACTGCTTTATGATAAAACAAAATGCATTCTACTTTCTCTATTTTGTGGTTTACATGGTTGTCCTTCCTGTATATTTATTCTCAGGGACTTCTCTGTCTTCTGACTTTCCTCACTCTCACTTCCCGTCCTAGGAAAATCCTCTTCCCCTGTACCTGTTCCCACAAATGGCATCCCTCGCATGCTTGCCCTGTGAAAGGCAGCTGACAGCTGTGCCCACTAGCTAACATTTCTCTGGTGGTTCTGAACAAAAGGGCTGGGGGGAAACTAGGATTCTCAGTTAATGGGGGATTCTGAGGGCTCTAGAGTAGGAGGCCTCATGCAAGTCTCCTGAACCAGAAATTCCTAACAAAGGAGATTGGATGTTTAACTCAGAAAACAAACAAACAAACAAACAAAAAACCAAACAACAACAACAAAGTTACTTGTTTGACACTTGAAATGAGTTATGTCTAAAAGAGCAAATAAGGTATAAACTCTTAATTGGGGGTTATATTTCAGTGTAAGATGTGTATATTAAAGTCTCTTGATGTATAGACTAACTTTTTATTAATTGACCACTGTCCACAAGTCATAGCAAACAGCTGCTTGCCACAGAAATGGAACTACTGCAAATTCTGGAAATGTCGCCACCTTGAGAAGATTGCTCATTGGAAGATATTAAATTGCCGGTTTACTTACAACACCTGGGGATGTTTCTTCATTGGAAAATACCTAACTTAAAGTAAATTAAATTAATTCATACTCTGTTTAGTTTCAAAAAGTGTAAAGTCAGCATTGATGTAACTTTTCTGTAACTTAGGATAATTCAAAGTTGCCTAAGGAGACAAAGTGCATCCATCGTGGAACCACCTCTGTGCCATCTGCTGACGTTTACGAGTAATCACCAGAATCATTCACATTTCTGTAAGCAATATTCTTCTACACTGGGAAAGAAGTCCGGGCTGCACTTAGCCAACTTCTTGGCAGTTGTGAAAAACGTAGTAATCAGAGTAGTTGTCAGGCACCTTGATTGAACGTCTCCTTGTGACTATTTTGCATACGCACATTATGCTCAGTGATTATCATTTGGGAGGAAAGGTTAAGGCGAATAAGTTAGCATTTAGACTACTGATTAAAAAGAAAGAGAAGATTATTGCGGGAAGTCAGGGACCCCGAATCGAGGGACTGGCTGAAGCCATGGCAGAAGAACATAAATTGTGAAGATTTCATGGCTTCTGTCAGGGTGGATTTCCCTGATAGAAGATCTTGCCAATGAGTCAAAGAAAGGGTTTATCTAATTAACTTGCTGTTTTGCCCTGTGCCTCAGACTGTAGTCAGCACACACACTGCCACAAAGACAGAACAGCATGGAGGAGGTCTTTTTTTTTGGTCCCTTTTGATCACTGAAGAGCCTCTATTTACATATTGAGAGATCCGATAAACTCTGATTGTGTATGTGCAGGTAGGTTGGGGTGTTTTGTCATAAATACCACAAAAACATTTATTCTAGTGAGATTCTGAAGGGAATATCATGAAAATAAACTATCTCTGCTATTTCTCATGCTGATCTGTCAATGGTCTTGAAATTGAGAAAAATGAGATTTGAAAGGAAGCAATGGGAGAAGTTGGAGAAGGCAATTGGGGATGAGGGACAAGGAAAGGATAATATATCAACAAGTCAGAGTGATGGAAGGGTCCTAACAAAAATTTAATGGAAGAGAGTCCAAGAAAAGGAGAAATTAGAGAAACAAAGATAAATGGACAGATAAGAAATATTTGGTGCCATTAAAAAAATCAGGATTCAAACTTTGTTTTTTCTTTTGTTGATTATTGTGAGCACTTTCTGTGCACCAGACACTGTACTAAATGCTTGGTCTTTTAATTTATTATTATATTTTCTTGTTACAACCATATGAGGAAGCAATGAAGCTAATAGTGTTTGTTTATGTATTGTATTATTTGTTTAGAGACAGGGTCTTGCTTTGTTGCCCAAGCTGGAATGCAGTGGTGTGTTTATAGCTCTTTGCAGCCTCAACCTCCTGGGCTCAAGTGATCCTCCCACCTAAGCCTCCTGAGTAGTTGGATCTACTAGTGTGTGCCACCATGCCTGGCTGACTTTTAAACTTATTTATCTTTGTATGTTGCCTAGGCTGGTTTGGAACTCCTGAGTTCACGCAATCCTCCTACCTCGGCCTCCCAAAGTGCTGAGATTACAGGCATGAGTCACTATGTCTGACAACTAATAATGTTAAATGTGTGAACCCTAGAGCTTGAATATCTGGGTTTGAATGCCTGAGGTGCCACTTACTGGCTTTGTGATCTTGGGCGTAGTAAACTTTCCGTATCCCAGTTTCTTCATCTGTAAAATGGTGATAATAATAATAATGGCATATACTTAATAAGGATATGGTGAGGATTAATAGGCTGATGAGGATTAATTGGGTTAATAGGTGCGTGAGGATTAATATACAGAGCATTTAGAGCAGAGCCTACACACGGAAGCACTCAATGAAAGTTGACCACTGTTATTATTTTATTTTTATTAGTATTCCAGTTTAATAGTTGATGCTTATAAAAGTCAAGGCACATTCTCAGGGGTCTTAATGAGTGTCAAATCCAGGTGAATTTGTCTTAAAGATCCATGCTTTTAATTCATATTTTCTGTATTAGTCTGTTCTCATGCTACTATGAAGAAATCCCTGAGACTTGGTAATTTATAAAGAAAAGAGTTTTAATTGACTCGCAGTTCTGCATCGCTGGGGAGACCTCAGGAAACTTACAATCATGGTGGAAGGCAGCTTTTCACAGGACAGCAGGAGAGAGAATGAGAGCTAGCAGGGGAAATACCAGATTCTTATACAACCATCATATCTTGTGAGAACTCACTCACTATTATGAGAACAGCAGGAGACTGCCCCATGATTCAATTACCTTTCACTGAGTCCCTCCCATGACACATGGGGATTATGGAAACTATAATTCAAGATGAGATTTGGGTGGGGACCCAGTCAAACCATATCATTCTGCCCCGGCCCAACCCAAATCTCATGTGCTCACATTTCAAAGCACAATTATACCTTCCCAACAGTTCCCCAAAGTCTTAAGTCATTCTGGCATTAACTCAAAAGTTCAAGTCCAAAGTCTCATCTGAGACAAACAAGTTCCTTCCACCCATGTGCTGGTAAAATCAAACACAGGTTAGTTCCTTCCAAGAGACAATGAGGGTACAGGCACTGGGTAAATACACCTGTTCCAAGTGGGAGAAATTGGCCAAAACAAAAGGGTTACAAGCCCCAAGCAAGTCTAAAATCCAACAGGGCAGTAATTTAACCTTAAAGTTCCAAAATGATCTTTGACTCCATGTCTCACATTCAGGGCACACTGATGCAAGAGGTGGGCTTCCATCGCCTTAGGCAGCTCTGTCCCTGTGGTTTTGCAGGGTACATCCCCCCTCCCTGCTTTCATAGCTGGCATTGAGTGTCTGTGGCTTTTCCAGGTGCATAGTGCAAGCTGTTGGTGGATCTACCATTCTGGGGTCTGGAGGACAGTGGCTTTGTTTTCAGAGCTCCATTAGGCAGTGCCCAACTGAGGACTCTGTGTGGGGGCCATGACCCCACATTTCCCTTCTGCACTGCCCTAGCAGAAGTTCTTCATGAGGGCTTTGCCCCTGCAGCAGACTGCTGACTAGATATCTAGGCATTTCCATCATCCTCTGAATCTAGGTGGAGGTCCCCAAACTTCAGTTCTTGTCTACTGTGCACCTGCAGGACCAACACAATGTGGAAACTGACAAGGCTCTGGGCTGGCATCTTCTGAAGCAATGGCATGAGCTATATCTTGGCCCCTTTTAGCCATGGCTGTAGCAGTTAGGATTCAGGGCACCAAGTCCAGAGGCTGCACACAGCAGGGAGACCCTGGACCCTGGGCCTGGCCCAGGAAACCATTTTTCCCTCCTAGGCCTCTGGGTCTGTGATGGGAGGGGCTGCTGCCAAGTTCTCTGAGATGTCCTGGAGACATTTCCCCATTATCTTGGTGATTAGCATTTAATTCCTCTTTACTTTAGCAAATTTCTGCAGCCAGCTTCAATTTTTCCCCCAGAAAATGGGTTTTTCTTTTCTTCTGTATTGTCAGGCTGCAAATTTTCCGAACTTCTATGCTGTCTTCACTTGAATGCTTTGCTTAGAAATTTCTTCTGCCAGGTACCCTAAATTATCTCTCTCAAGTTCAAAGTTCCACAGAACTTTAGGGCAGGGGAAAAAAGCCATCAGTCTCTTTGTGGAAGCATAGCAAGAATGACTTTTACTCCAGTTCCCAACACATTTCCCACCTCCTTCTGAGGTCACTTCAGCCTAGACTTCATTGTCCGTATTACTATGAGCATTTTGGTCAAGGCCATTCCACAAG